TAATGCACGTTTTTATAGAGTTACTTCCTTGCGTTGTAAATTTAAATGTGCTGCATTATTTTGCTCATTGCGCCCTCCTGTGGTCTCGGGAGACAATTAGACCTATACAATAAAGACCTATTTAATCTGCATATAAAACATTAGAAATTAGATATTTGTTTAATTTTTAGTGTTTGATTGTTAAAACAAAAAATATTTGTTGTTTGTCTCAATAAATTGTTTTAATTATAAATACAGTGGTTACATTTAAAAAAAAAATTTCTATTGCTTTTTGTTTTAAAAAAGGTTATAAAAATGTCAATAATTATCCGAACGATATGAAACATTATATCGTCGATAAATTTTTTTAGCTATATCGCCCAGCCCTACTTAAAAGTTTAAGGCAACCAGCTTCGGGACATTTTTGAGTTTTCTCAACTTATGGTAATATTCAGTTTATACAACAAAAAGTTAAGAAAACTAAAATTTCCTACAAAAACAAGATGAGAAAACTCAAAAATCTCCTGAAGCTGGTTGCCTTAAACTTTTAAGTTTTCTCAACTTTTGATTTTTTACAGTGTAGTCTATAGTACATTATTTGGGACTTGTAAGGACCTTTATTTATATAGCGCTTAACAATACAGATTGTGTCAAAGCAGCTTTACAGTACCAAATAGGAAAATAGTGTGTCAATAATGCAAAATGATAATATTAAACACTCAATTTTCAGTTAAAGGCAGTTCATCGTTGAATTCAGTGATTTCATCATACAGCTCAGTTCAGTTTAAATAGTATCTGTGCAATCAAGTCGACGAGATCGCTGGATATTAAGTGACAGTGATGTGAGGTGTGACGCAGGGCGTTCCTCCTTCACCGTTTACCTGACACAACAGGCAGGTGCGCATACCTTTCTATACAAGGACAGACTTGCTTTTACGGGCCGTGAGCCATGAACACAAGCATGACGGGTGGCGTTACTAGAGCATGCTGGGACCTAAAGCTGACACATTGGTTCTTACACGACACGCGCTTCTCCAAATGACAGCTTTTCCCAGGAGAAAGAGTGAGAAAAAACAATAACAACACAGGGTTTAAAGCCTCAAATCTGCTTATATCCAAGCCAGTGCAATTTTACTATTATTTATATATTCATTTTAATAAGAACAATATATTATTTATTAATATTTTGATTTAGCTTTTATTTGTATGTTTTCAGGTTTCAATTTAATTCTAGTTTAATTTTTAGTAATTCTGCTATGCACTGTTGTCAATTTTATTCGTTGTTAGCCTTTTTTAATATTACAATTTAGGTTTAATAAAAAATTTTTTTCAGTTTTAGATTTAGTTCAGTTTCAGTTTTTATTTATTTCCATTTAGTAATTTTACCCCCGGCTTCACAGACAAGGCTTAAGCCTAATCCTAGATTAAAATGTAAGTCTGAGCTGTTTCAACTGAAAGAAACTCGCACTGACTGATCTTAAAATACATCAGTGCCTTTGTTTTGTCCCAAAAAGCACACCAGTAATGTTTTTTTTTTCTAAGCACGTTTATTAAAATTACTTCAATGTCCTAATTGAACTATGGCCTAATCCTGATTTAGTCTAAGCCCTGTCTGTGAAACCGGCCCTTAGTGCTTCAACTTATTTCAGTTGGTTGCCAAGCAAACATATCTAATTTTCTTTTTAGTTTAAATTTGTTTTGATCTAATATTTCATTTCAGCTTTATTTCAATGAACAAAAGTATTTTGAGTAGTTTTAGTGAACTATAGTAACTCTGGTCTGAGCTGAGAGTTAATTGGATATTAGCTGGAAATCAAAGCACATGAAGTAAGAGTTTGTCAGGAATAAGCAGAGCGAGCAGATTACAGCGAGATTAATGCACTACTTGAGCCGTTTAGAAGGAAATAAGGTCATGTGTGATTGACTGACTGAGTCCACGAGTCAATGAGCTGATGTCAAACCCGAGCTGAAGCCAGTGGGAAACTCCTGTCCGCCGCACCCAACACACGGCGGAAACCTGAGATGGTGCACGCAGATGGCCACGCATTCACACGCTCCAACACGCACACGCAACAAGAGCAGAGGGAAACCCAGGCCTGCATGAATTATTCACCTCATTCACCTCTGTGCAACCGTCCTGTCGGTATGGCCCGAAGAACAGTGAGAAACAGAGGGAAAGGGACAGATGAGCTGTCGATTACGACAAACATGGTTTTATGTTCAGAATGGAATACTAGCATACAGCTTACTGCACACTGAAGTAGTATATACTAAACACTGTATACTATTTTTAAAAAAACACACAATCCAATTGAGTGCATTTTCAGTGGCATTGGTTTTGGAAGTATTTTTCCCATTCATTTTTCCAATAGTGATTAAAAAAATGTCTTTGTTAAAGCATTACAAGTCATGAACCAAAACAACCAGCTACGAGGAGAATCACAACATTACAAACTTTGATTTGAGGCAAAAAAGCAAATGCAAAACGGACAAAAAGACTGTGTACTTAACGGCTTTAGTGAAGGAAAAAACTACAATGCCATGAAGCACTGCGGATCACATTAATTGCATAAAAAAAACGATGAAGAAATATAAAAATATTAATTTTAAGTTATTTGTTGTATCTATAGAAAAAACATATTTTAAGTTCATTGCAAAATATTGATATATATATACAGGGGTGCACATAAGTTTTTCATCCTGGTTCTCATATGAGAACCTGGAGATTTGGTTTGGTCCTCACACGGCACATAGTGTGACTCATCAAATATAACTATAAAAAATAAATTAATAATAGTGACAATATTATTGCACTTTATTTAGTTTACAAAAAAAAAAAAATAATAAACTAAATAATAAAGTGTGATAATACTATTTTATTTTAAAATAAAAAGGGAGTAATAAATACAAATACAATTATTTTATAGTAAACTTAAAAATAAAATGCTAATATCTTATTATTATTATTATTTTAATTTGAACTTTCATCATTTTCAAACTGAAAATCAGCAAGCTTTTATTTTGGCGAGTTGCCGGCAAGTAAGTATAGAGACAGAGCGCATTTAGGCCACGGCCACACCGGGGGGGAACAATCCAACGCTCGCCATTGACTTTCTATTGCGGGAAGCTGCCTCCTTGTCATTTCTGACTTATAACAAAAAAACAGAGCAATGCCTAAAAGCTGCTATGTGACAAGGTGTACAGCAAACAAGCTAAAAAACCCAGAACTACGTTTTTATATATTTATATAATTTTATATCATGTATATATTTAAGAAAAATATGTTTTTTTTCACTTAAAATTATTCTAATTATTTTCCAGGGCAATACTTCCAATTTTCCTTTAGTTTAAGTTGTTCTAATAATTAATTTTATTTTATTTCAGCTTTACTTTAAATAACAAAAATGTTTTATTTTTAGTTAAAATAGCTTGAGTTAACAATAACAATCCTGATGCAATGAAGCAAAGCATCCAACAAACATATACTATGTGTTGTGCATAAATCAGCTGCTGTAATGTGACGCACAAAGTTCAAGCAAACTTAACTTGGACTGTCCACTACTCAATCTGTTCAATTTGGACGCTGTGTTAAAAAACTGGACAGACCGCAAAAGAACGGAATTGAATGGAAAACAGCATGATTCACAGCCAGATGCATGCATACACTGACTAACTAGGAGAACATTTATACTGAATAATACTTGGAATTCAACAGTATTTGTGTCAACATTTACTGCTAAAGGCAAATTAGTTCCAAAAGCGCTGGTTTGGCTGCAGCGAAGGGGACAAATTAAGAGACGCATCGTCTCAGAGAGGGTTTTAGCACAGCCCAATGCTAAAAACCCTGCCAATAATTAATAGCCTGTAAAGCACCATCACTAAAAATATTAAAGCTTAGGCTACTTGACCATCCTGACCCATCCCTAGTCGAGCGGAGCGCTGAATTGCTGATGTGAGTCATGTGAAAGGACCTAAAGGGCTAGTCAAAATCCAGCTTATACCACAAACAGCCCTCTCTGGTCAAGCCTGGCATTCCCGTTTCACAGCCGAGGGCACGACGCAAGCGGAGAGAGAGAGCATCAGCAGTATGAGTCACCAACATCAGCTCATAAAACTCAACAGCTTCTGTTCTGTCCTGCTTCCCAGCGTCACACGAACACACTGGCTACACACTCGGCCTGTTGCAAGCTCGTTTGTGATGCTAATGGCCTTTAATTTCACGCCGCTGCATCTTGTACTTCAGGTAGCAGGAGCCTATGTGCAAACGGAGTGAATTATACTCCTTTCAATTGACTGTCAAGGTGCCCGAGGGTGATTTCGACATATGACGGCCTCTCCTACACGCCATCGCCCACGCAGAGCTATGAAAGGCATGCTGGTTACGAAAGGAACAAAACATCAGTCAGGATCTCCTCAGCTAGACGCTGCCTTCTAGGGATGCCAGATGCATCAGTACCGAGTGCATACGAACATACAAATGTAAAAATGTTGTGTTATCAGTCCAGTCCTTCCACAACAGACTGATAAACGCTCACATGCAAATTTGCATGTAAACTAGTGTGCACTTCTTGGTCAAAATGCCATTTAAGAGAGTTAAGGCTGCTCTGTGCCTGCACAAAATTCAGTGTAAAGATGCAATGTTGCATAAAAGCCAGACTTAATTAAGCCTGCTCTGGTCCAGCTTAGCTCCTAGTATCACAGTATACGTCGGTGTAATTGTTGTGCAAATGCATTCGTACAGTACCACCTCTTAGCAGCATTAAACAGAAGACACTATAATGCCACTTCAGAGGCGATTTTATGCCACCTTTGCAGTGTAAACTTGGCACTGGTGATATATTAACTGCTAGTTAAGTGTCTTAATTGATTGCTCTGTGCCTGCTCAACATATTGTGTAAAGACATAACGCAGCATAAAAGTCACAATAAATTAAGCCTGCTCTGATCCACCTCAGCTCCTCGTATAAAAGCACACAGTTGTATTTGCTGTGTAAATGCATTCATGCCACCTCTGAGCAGCATTAAAAAACACCTACAGTAAATGCCACTTCAGAGGCGCTTCTGTGCCATCTTTGCAGCATAAGCTTGACATTTTTGAGGTATTAACTAGTTATGTCTTAACTGAGTTAAGGCTGCTGTACGATTGTTAAAACTTCAGTATAAAAACACAATGCAGCATAAAAGCCAGAGTAAATTATGCCTGCTCTGATCCACCTCAGCCCCTCGTTTGAAAGCATACAGTTATATTTGCTGTGTAAATGCAATCGTACCACCTCTGAGCAGCATTAAACAGTCACCTAAATTTATTTAATTAATCACAGAATTTGCAATTTAACAAACACTAGGCCACATCAGACTCTGACTGTAAATGAGAATGCAGTTAAATACCTGTAAAACTTCATGCTCAACTTCATGTTGTATTGTTTTACAGTATCAAAATTAATCATTTTTTAGTTTTCCCAGCCCTGATCTGGGTACTGAAAACCAGCCTGGTCAAGTGGGTTAATCTGTCACATGGCCAGCACAGTTTCCGCTCACACTTTCTGTTTGTCCTTCATTCATCATGCATAATAAAACATGCAGGCCGCATGGAGCGACTGTACGGACGTCCGGGTAAACGACCCATAAATGCCAAAGATATTCCCACAGCATTCATTAATCAATCGCTGCCCTTTAGGACTAAATATCTCATCTCAATCACACAGAAGTGCGCGTCAAGGACTTACAAGTAGTAAAGCATGACATTGCACAAAAGTACGTAGAGGTTTGGCCACTACGAGAATGCAAAATAAATTTAGAATGCAAATATACAAGTGTAAGCGATTCACCAGAGCAGGGTTATTATAGTAAACTAAAACTAATACCATACAAAAAAAGAAAAATTTTCATTACTTGAAATAAAATATTTTCATTGAAATTAAATAACATGTGACCCTGGAGCACAAAACCAGTCATAAGGGTAAATTTTTTTTTTATTGAGATTTATGCATCATCTGAAAGCTGAATAAATAAGCTTTCATTGATGTATGGTTTGTTAGGATCGGACAATATTTGGCCGAGATACAATTATTTGAAAATCTGGAATCTGAGGGTGCAAAAAAAAAATCTAAATATTGAGAAAATCATCTTTAAAGTTGTTCAAATGAAGTTCTTAGCAATGCATATTACTAATCAAAGATTAAGTTTTGATATATTTACGGTAGGAAATTTACAAAATATCTTCATGGAACATGATCTTTACTTAATATCCTAATGATTTTTGACATAAAAGAAAAATTTATCATTTTGACCCATACAATGTATTGTTGGCTATTGCTACAAATATACCCCAGCGACTTAACACTGCTTTTGTGCTCCAGGGTCACATATATTAATGAAACCTTAAACTTTTTTTTATTTTAGCTAGTTGCCAACCGTTCTTATTTTCATTTAGTTTAACTTTATGTACTAAAACTGAAATAAAAATGAATAAAAACTATACAACACATTTAAAAAATAAAATAAAAATGACAAAAATCTACAAAGAAATCTAAGAAAAATCTAAGAACATAAAAACAAATTAAAAATATGAATTAAAAAATAACACTGCAAAGAGACAGTCAGAGAGACAGCAATACTAGTAGTGCTACCATATCAGTTAACCAGACAGTCTACACTAGATAGTCACTAACTTAGTAGCCTCACAGAGGAGTGTCCAGTGTTTAAGGACTTCCTCATATTTGTGACGATCGCGTGTCTGGAAGCAGATAATGCAGACAGACGATGACAGACTGCTTCACGCAGAGCTGCAGCCTTTGACTCCTATTGTGACGTCATCGTGAGAAATCAGACACAAACGAGAAACACGTCACAGTGTAGCACCCAGAAATACCAAACCCACGTCTGTGTCACTTTTTATTGCCATTTCACAGTCCAAAATAAGAGGCTAGGATTTACTCATTTTTTATGCATTATTACATTATTTTCATGACAATTAATGTCTGGATGCTTTCATTTCGAGTTTGCAATTCTCTATGATTATTATTAGTCATTACTGTGCTAAATCATGACAATGACTCAGGCCAGACACCATATATTTTTAAAAATATATAAAATATTATATATATTAAGATATTATAATATATAAAAATATATATTTATTTTAAGCTTATTTTTTATATTCTGTTAAATTACTCTGTACAGTCATAATATTTTTAAAAGCAAATTAAACAGCAAATTTACACTATATAAAATAAATATATATTTTTTTGTTCTTAATTATTTACATTTAGTCATTTAGCAGATGCTTTTATCCAAAGTGACTTACAAATGAGGACAACAGAAGCAATCAAAACCAATAAAAGAGCAATGATACGCAAGTGCTATAACAAGTCTCTGTTAGCTTAACGCAGCAAGGTTTTTTTTTATTAT